GACGCGTCGGCTGATCTTACTAGCGAGCCGCGGCAGTCTCTCTTAATCGTGAAATTTTACCTGAGCCGAACGAGGCGAGAAATTCGAACGAATCTGTGAATCGCGGTGCGCGCGTCACGGGTCGCACACGAACTGGGTCAACAAGGAATAACGTCGGTGCCGATGACCGTCCTTGTATATCGGAGCCGGTCTTTTTGCTCGCTGACCGATGATCGATCGATCTTTCCTCTTTCCGACACCAACGCGTCTCTTAAGCTTCCTTCACACGGATCGCGATCGGCCGAGGTACTTTCGGCTGCATTTTCCAGATTCGATTGCTCCGTTCGAAGAAAGAAGTAAACCGTTACAACGTTGAACCCTCTGTTGGCAGATCGTTTCTCGCGATTATAAGAAAACGCGTGTAGAATAAAATGTTAATTAATTAACAAATACCCACCTAAATACCAATTATTCAATAGTTTTAATAATTCCATCGAAGCGAACATACCTTGTAACTTTGGAATTACAATGACGAACTTTCAGGCCTGAGCGTATAAAAGTTGAAGTTAATCAATTTTCTTCGCCACTTTGCCGTGCAAGATGAAATAAACCAGCAAGATACTTATATATTGCTATAAAACATGAAAGTCATACGGGTTCATAGAGGGTTAACACGTTAGCTTCCGAATTGCTTGGAAACGATTATAAGACGATCGATGTCGAATGAAGACATTCAGTAACGCGAGTAACCGGACAATACTACAGCGTAATAACTGCGATACTAAATCACTGATTATTGTTTCCAGTTATATAAAACCGTCGCTGTTCCGTCCCAGAATAAATCGCAATTGGCGTGTGCAATCAGCGAGTCCAGTCGCATTCCGGCCGAAGGAAGTTTAAATTGTCCGCGCCGGCTCGGATAATTACCAAACATTGTATCGTGCCCAGTGGAATGCGATTCGAAGGTGTTCCTAGGTACGATCGCGCTGATTCGCTCTCGCTGGTAGCGCCGGAATCACCGTGCGGTGTGTTCCCTGAAATTTTCATGACTTTATCGATCAGATACCTGTCGAATAACTCAAATTCCGCGTACCGATCGCGCGGCGCGCGGATCCAGGGATCGTTCTTGCGAAACTGCGCGTGAAAAAAATGGAGGATCAGGCTGTACGCGTCATGGCGCGGTTCAAGGCTGGTCGTTTATGCAGCTCTCCTTTTTTATTCCGAAAGAGGGACGCGGTGGATAGTTGAACGCTGAACGACGCTACGGGCAGATGAATTATGTTGATGCAAGAAGTGTCAGCGCCGTAGATTTAGAGGACCTGCCGCCGTCGCCGCCGCCGCCGCCGCCGCCGCTCCCGCCATTGCGCCGCTCGACCGCCTTACGAAAGTGCGCCGCTCTTTTTTGGATGCGCGTTTTGGGTTTCGCAAGGCCGCACTTTTACCTGGACGTTTCGACGGCGCGTCCTTCGGTTATTCGAATCTCTTCTTTTTAGCATACGCCGGGGATCGGCCGAAAGAGACGAATTGCACCCGACGTTGACACAGATAAACCGCATATCGTTTCGGAGAGGAAGGTGCGCGCATAACATTTCACTTCACCTTTGTCGACTCGCTCCTCGACGGCCGGCACTATTTTGTGCTCCGTTCTAAATTGCAAACACAAAACAGAGAATGCGAAACGCGTCTCGAAATGTCAACCTGTGACCCGAGCGGTTTAAACCTGTGATCGAGTTCGTCGGCGACGCGCGAAAATCAGTTTGGCGGTAATCAACGCCGCGGGAGACGCGGTCCTGACACCGTTCGCTGGAAAAACGAGGAAAGGGAAAATAGAGAAGTTGTTGTTAATCTCGCCTAGCAAAAATGCTTCAGAATGCAAACAGGAAAAAGGAGAGATGACGTCAATGTGTAGAATACGACGCAGATAGTAAACGATATTTCCAGTGGCGGCAAGGGTTAATAACACATCGTTCCGGGAGCCGGAGATTTATTCAGATGCGCATTTCCAAGGAATTGACATTCTAAGGTCACGAGTTCGTTTGCTTCCCCGTCGATATCTTCATCGATGACGACCGAGAGCGATCGGCGTATCGCGTCTCCGCAGCCATTTTCCCTTCTTCTTTCGCGGCAGGCGGCGGAGCTGGAGGATAATCTGCCGCCAAATCGAATACAAGCGCCGTTCACATTTGTCACGTTGCTCCTCCGCGATTTTTCATTTGACGCCACCCTGGCTGTTTGTCGCGCTCCTCGCTTACGCGTGCGTCTATTGTAAAGCGTATTCGATCCCATCCGAGTAAATATATCGATAAAAAGTGGCGTAGAAATCAGAATCATCCGTCCCGAAGGACGCACCGTGCAAAAGTCCTACTTGAAAACAATAAAACCGCGACGGTCCCGCGAACCTCGAGCGAAGGTCGATCGTGATTCTGCAAGTCGATGATCTCGAGATCTTCGGAGGAGGTAGAGGACTCCTGACGTCGTAGAAATCTGCGCCACGAACGAGCATGTGGAAAATTTTGTTCCGCGAATACTTCGGAATCGAGAGTTGCTCGACGCGTTGGCTACCGCGGGAACCTCGAGTCTCTCACGTACTTATTACAAAGAATTAATTAATAATTCTTCCCTCAATCGGTGAATACTTATTCATCATTCAATCTTACATCTTCGTCGTGTCGAAGCAAACGGTGAAACTGCAACGAAGTTAACCCCTTGCCCTTGTTTCTCAGCTGTAATCATCGCAACGATGTCATTAATAATTCATCGAGAAAGGAGACAAATTCTATGCATATTCTATGCCTACTTTTGCTCTAAAGTATAATCATTGGTAACAGAAAAAGGGCATTTCATTCGAATTCACAAGAATTGAGTAATATTTACGTTTATTAAATTCTGTTTGAAATCTTCACCATCGCACGTTATTCCAAGGCAAGGGGTTAAGCAGATTCCGGCGAGCGTTTAACTCCGCGAGCACGGATAACGCCGTGGCGAGCTCCGCGATTCCACCCATTAATTCGGGGAACTAATGATTCGATTGGTCACCCATCGACGCGTGATTATTTGCGAGCGATCGCTCGCAAATGGCTCGCGGGCCCGCGCGTCCTCGCTATCGGGCATCGCTGAAAAATGCCCGATATCGAAGCCAGATTTTTCCCCGTCCGCCCTTATCGACCGACCCGTTTCGCAATTTTGCGTTACCGCGCAATTCCCGTGCGCGTATCTTGCACTTCCGTATATGCAATCGTTCGCAAACACGCCTAACACGACATTGGGCCATTACGCGATTCGCGCTCGCGAGATCGAAGGGAATGACGAACCGTCTCGATACGAATCCGTATCGAAGAGACAACGATACGTCCAGTAGATTTAACCCTTCGCGCGAAGATTGCTTCGAAACACTAGAAACCTTTTCAAATACGCTGAACTATTAACACTAGAACTACGAGATGAGTCAAAATTACAATTATTCAAAAAACAATAGATCCTTCTCTAAGAAATTTCTACAGAAATTGTTTTAATAGTACGCAAACTAAATTTTGAGTGATCGATGTCTCGATAGATGCACTCTTGGGGTTTCTATAGAAAAATTTTGGAAAGTCAACTTGACTGTTTGGTAGTTCTAGTGTTAATACTACAAAAGGAGGAAACTATAGATCGATGTTTCGTTACTTAACACGGTAAAGGCCGCAGGATTTCGTAGAGAAAAATAAGATGGAAATGTAATATTTGATCATTCGATCGAATTGCATTATTATCGCACGTTCATCTAGCTGAATGTCACCGAATATAGATAGCATTATTTAGGATATAGAAATGTTTTTAAACAATCATTTAATTGAGTAATAGTAATTCGATTTGGTTGGAGGTCACCGGTGACCCCCACGACATTCATCGTGTTAACTTGCCCTATGATTTCTTTCTGAACTGTGATCGATCTAACTACTTTGTTATTAATGATTCATTGAAACTATGGTATAATCATTGATAACACAGGAATAATATGCAGTTTGCCTTCAAACATATTGAATAATATTTATGTTTGTTAAATTCCGTTTGAAATCTTCACCGCGAGTCTGACACGATATTGTAGGGCAAGGGGTTAATTAATCGGATCACTGTGGATATTGGACACCGTGAATACGAAGACGTTCGTCCTGAAAGGGTTAAGTCAGAAACGAAGCGGATTCCTGGGAACGAGTGCCGATCCTGCGTTGGCATTTAACAATCGGCTTTACAACAAATCGAATGGAACCGGTTGATGTTGTGTCGCTGAACGCTCGCCGCTTCAAGGAGTTCTTCTGTCCTCAATTTTCTCGATGATAACAGCGCTCCGTATTTTGATTTCACGCTCTTTGGCATTTCCACGGGAATGAGGAGTTCCTTTCGAAGGAATTCCTCGCGTTGCCGTCAGATACGAGTTCTTAGACCACGGGAACCCCCCTTAACCCCTTCGGGAACGAATATCGACGATATCTGTTCCCCAGCGATTAGTCGAATGATTTAAATAACAAAAGGTCAATAGACTCTGCTCTACAGATTCTAATATTTCAGTATACCAGGTACAATTCACCTTCTGCTTTAAAAAATTCCTCATCCGCAAAGGGTTGATCGTTTTTCCTAGCTTCAAACTTAACACATTGCGCGCCGGTTCCGCAATAATGCGGGATCTTTAGTTCGTCGTTTAATTATTAGATACATGTACAACACAAACCCAAAGTGAAATTAAATCGAATTCCTTATTCTCTCTCGTAAGTTACAAATTTCGGTTCGACTGATGTTTAAAAATGTATCAATATACCCACCGACGCTCGCGTTCCTGGTAGCTGAAATTTAGCCGGCGTACGTGTCAATACACCTTTTCGCAAAACTCTTCTCCTGTCTATTAACGCGCAACCCATTTCGTTAAGAGAGAATGTTTGAAAACGTTACGGCTTGTCGGTAAAATAAATGGAAATTACTGCACGACCGAGCAAGAAGGAGCGGGAGGAATTACGAGGAAAGTGCAAAGACCTTCTTCTGGATTCCAGTGTTCGACGCGTCCGTGAAAATTCCATCGGGCATAATCACGGGCAATTACAAGCAGCTAGGCAATTACGACGAGTGTCTGCGAGTGAAAAGCGGACACGGATTCACGGGGAAGGCTTGCACCGGCATGGTGCAATTCGACATCACGGGAAGCCGCGGCGAGCATAGCGAACCCGATATAGGCGATCTACTTCTTAACGTAGCCTTTACATCGGTGAGTGAATCTCGATTCAATATTCAATTCGATAATCTATATTACACGTAAGCAGATAAGTCCCGACTAACTGACTGACCGACTGTTTCGTCAACGCCGATCCGAAACCATCGAGCCTTGGAACATAGAATTTAACCCTTTTAACCCTTTGCACTCGGAAGTTTCTCGCTAGAGATGTTTTTGACGAGGCGAAGACGATATTCTTTGAAACTAACTCGAAGCGAAATAAGTACATCGAGGAATAGAGCTATTTTATTCCAATATTTCACAATCAAGGCATTATACAAAGTTCAACATTATGTATCAGATTTTAGTTTTGCGTCGAATCAAACGACTGGGAGCCTTCCGAGTGCAAAGGGTTCCTTAAGGTATCACTTGTTTTTTTATTGAACTTAATTTTCAACTAGGTGACAAGGAAATTGATTTCCAATGGAAATTCTGCGAGAAACTGAAATAATTTTCTTATAAATTATCATCGAAAGCCCGCGCGGTTTCTTTGTTATATTTTTACATTGAAGTATTCGAATGTCAAAGTCGAATTTATGGAAAGTATTCCTTTGAATAGAAACTTGTTTTCTTTGAGAAAGCTTCCAATTGTTTTATTATATACGTCTAGATTCGTATTGTATCTGGTTGAGAAATGACGGAGGACTAGCGTGCAGCCCGTCGAATATTTGTACCGGTAATTTTAGAATTTCTCTCGACCGACGGTCGCGATATCGCGCGGAGATCGATCGAAAAACATTCGAGTTTTTTGCAAGGTGAAAGAACATGTAAGAATCGTCCCGGTGCAAAGTACATTGGAACGCGCAGTCTCTGAAGAACGAGACGGCCGACGGTGTCGAACGAAAAACGCTGTTGTGTGAAACACGCCGATAAGACGCTTTATTCGTTCATCACGATAACGCGCTTGAACTCGAATTCATTTAACACCTTTATCGGTCATTGTTCGGGAACGACGTATCGCCGGCCGATCTTATTAATGATTACCGTTATCGACGACCGTCGCTGTATGCGCGCACCGAGATCTTCTATCTTTGAACTCGAGGCACTATTATTAGCGTGAATGGACGCGGCTAACGTCTCCTAATCGGATCGGATCGATACGAATTTTCATACGTTCCATCCTCATACAGAGGGAACCATTATCGATTCTATCAACCTTACAAGATAAACTAATCCGTTCGACGATCGAGTTGTCCACAGGTCGAAATGATTAACTTTAACCGATTAAATCGTTTGCATACGTGTAATCTCGTTAACGCGTTGAATGCAGCACGATTTCATCGTACAGAATACTTCAAATGGAAAAATATAATATTAAATCATTCGATTGAATTGCATTGTTATTCTTGCATGTTCATGAATGTCACTTCATTAGTTAGAATTATTTATAATATAGAAATGTTTTCAAATAATCATGGTTTAATTGAGTAAACAATATAAATTCGATTTAGTTGGGGGTCACCTCTGTATTTTCCATTGAAGTCGAGTTAACCGATTTGACGAACGAACGACTCGACACGGCGAACATTGAATTATATTATTCGTCGATCTTCTTGGTGTTTTCGGGATTAGTTTCTATTCGAATTCTTCGTAGTCCGTAAGTAACGATAAAAGGATTGACAAAGAGATTGATTGATTCAGGGAATAAAATGGAATTCAGAGAAGTCCGTGATCTACGAGTGGATGTGGTGCGTCCCGTCGAGCTGCAATCACACGGACGTCCAGGAGGCGCTAGAAATCGTCCTCGACCCTCTCAAGGTGGAAGGTCGCGTGGACTTGGTGGTGAAGGTTCCCGAGAGCTCCTGTCGCACCGCAGAAACGGATCGACCGGTCTTCGACGTAACCGACTGGATTTACATGTAAATATCGTTATCGGGTTGCAACGGGTGCGGTTTTAGTATAGAGTAACGCAAGATCAACGGATTCGTTGTTTGTCGCCGCGATTTCGAGGACAAAGCCGGGAGTTGTGTAAAATTTTCCGGAAAAATTTATCGCCGCGGCGGTTGCGTCACCGCGGCAACGCGCGTCAGATCGCGAGCATGTAAATGCACGCCAACGTTACGAATCGATTATTATAGCCCGTCCGCGAGCGTACTTGAAAGCGTTCGCTGGAACCGACGAGGAATTATCAACGGTACTGTATCGGTTGACCGTTGTTTCCCCGTTCGATCGCATTCGCGCGCCGCCCAAACACGGGCAATCCCGTGTTTATCGCTCTCGATCGCGTCTTTGTTATTGTTTCGAAAAATTGGGACACCATCGAGATTATCGAGGCACAATCTCGCTGCTGAAGAGGCGAGCAAATAAGTTTCATACGTTGTCCAGCTATTTCTCGCCACGGAACGGGGGGGAAAGAAAAAGAACGACGAGGAATATTTCTCCGTGCGTCGTGCAACGCGCCGCCGGAGGAATTTCCCGTGGTCCCCGTGAAACGCGGTAACTCCTACGCCGACACGCCAACGTGCACGATGCATGATAATGTTTAATTGCAGATCGATCCTCGCGATATTCGCAGTGATCATAATTGCCAGCACGAGTTACGACATCGCCAGGCAAGGCCGTCTGAGCACGTTGAACCGAAAAGGTGGGTTGCTCGTTCACGTTACGTAAAACGATCGTTCCCCGCGAGCTCTGTGTGGGTCAGCTTATCGATTCTTCGCGGAACGATGTCAGGAAAGCGATCGGATCGCGAGATCACGCGTGACCGATAACGATTCTTGGTCGATCGATAACGATCAGTGTTAAGGACGCGGTGTTTGCCTAATCCATTTGCCGCGTGCTCGTCGATCCAACCGGTTTCGATGCTCGTTCGACGTTCAACCCTTTCGCGGACGAGCGCCGACATTTCGGCGAATATTTTCATATTCGGAAGACTAAGTCGCAGCTGCGTTAGTTACTCGAACAAGAGGTCAGCGCATAGTTTCCTTTCCTATCGTTCAAGAGACTGACGTATAATTTAGCTGCATCTGCCGAAGGTCTCGTGTATTTCAAAGAATCTTCGTCCGCGAAGGGTTAACGCGCAATCGAGAGAAATGAAACGAGATCCGTGGGTACCAGCGATCTGTCGCAACTTTTAGACACGAAATACGTGCTCTTCACTTCCTTCTCCGTCTACACCAACGGGAAGAATCTCCTGAACACGGACAGGTCCAGGAACTCCATAAAATGTCTCGACGGACTGCGTTACCTCAGCATCTGCTGGATAATCTGCGGCCACACGGTTTACTCCGAGATCGTCGGGCTGAAGATGAACCTCAACGAGGTCCCTATGGTAAGGATTTACAGTAGAATAACAATTGATTATCAATGAACCCGATCCACTCCGCGAGCCATCGTGCGAACGGGAGCCTGCGAAACTCGCGCAGTAGTACAAGTCAATTTTCGTTCCTCCGCGGGACGAAAATCTTCCGCAGAACCGTGTGCTCGTGACTTTCGATTCCTCCCGTTGTTCGGCGAGGAAGCTGATTCGCTCCGTGCAACGTTTCAGATGCACTTGAACTGGGGCAACATGCTGGTGCTGAACTCGAACATAATCACCGACTCGTTCTTCCTGCTGAGCGGAGTGCTGATGGCGTACACGATGATGACGAAGAGCGAGAAGGACCCGAAGAGGCGTCTAGACGTGATCGGCCTCTACATGCATCGGTACCTGAGGCTGACGCCCGCGTACGCGATGATGATCGGCTTCTACGCCACGCTGTTCTACAAAGTTGGTACCGGGCCGCAATGGGACCAGTGGGTCGGCGCGAACAGGGACTACTGCCGGGAGAACTGGTGGACCAACCTGCTCTACGTGAACAATTACGTGAATCTGCCCAGAATAGTATGTACGATGACAATCGAACGGATTGCATGCGCTTATGATAAACACTAGTGTATAGAGTACGAAGCAGAGAGATGTTCGCGAGGATTTCGGAATGATTTATTGTCAATTTGTCCAAACTGTCAAGAGTAGATATCAGTGTTCTGTTCAATAGTTCACTGGAGTTATTCTGATAAACGTCTCCACGAAGATCCGCCGTTCGGCGGTGATAGTCGTTGAAAGAAAGTTCGAGTACAGAGTTTTTCCGTAGCTCGACGTCCACTGGAAATTTGTCCTGCACACGTGAAACATGATTGGCTGCTTTTCGTTTCAGTGCTTGTCACAGTCGTGGTACTTGGCAACCGATATGCAGCTGGTCTGGCTGTCGCCGATATTTCTGTACCCCATGCTCAAATTCACGCGGCAGATATTCTTCTGGATCGTAATCGCAATCGGCTTCGTTACCTCTATCGTCATACCGTTCCTAATTACGTTCACCCTCAAGCTGTCCGGTACCATGCTCTACTACAAGGAGTGAGTACACAGAGTTTTAGGAAACGTCAGTTCGTTTCGCTCGTCCCCCGCGGTTATTGCTTCCACGTCTGATTTATTTCGTTCGAGATCACTTATATCGCGCGAGCGGTCCTCCTGCGGATCGTACACGGGATTTATCAGTTTTGTTCGTTGCGAATTTCGATCCCCCTCCGACACGGCGACCGATGTATCCCTCGCTCACGTTCCCCGCTTTCTCTTTGCGATCAGGTCGAACGATGTGGCAGAAGTTTACGTGCAGATCTACACGAAGGTGTACAACAGATACGGATCCTACGTGATCGGACTGGCCCTCGGATACATATTGCACAAGACTCGGACCAGGGTCATCAAGATACACCCGGTAAGCATCGCACGTTCCGTCCGGCAATCGGTGTTTTCGCGAAACCTTCGAGCAGCTTGCCGTTCGTTTCAACGCGCTGCAGCGGGAAAGTTCCCTCGCGAGGATTCGGCGTCGACGATTACTCGTCGATAATGGAAAACCGATCTCAGTACTTAACACACGTTTTCTGAATTTATCATCTTTCTCGTTAGTTTGCTTCATTCGTTTGGTTTACAGATGTACGTTGCCTTCGGCTGGGTGGTCGCCATTCTGTCGGGCATGTTCGTCTTCGTCGGCCCACGGTGGATGTACTTCGAAGACCATGTCTACGATAGGCTGGAAGCCAGCTTCTACGCAGGCATGCACAGGCAGGTCTTCGCTCTGTCGATCTCCTGGATCATTTTCTGCTGCGTTCACGGATACGCAGGTATGATTTAAACAGTGCGTGTTAACTCTTCGCGGACGAAGATTCCCTGAAATGTACGAAACTATCGGCAGATGAAGTTAAATTATATATCGATTTCTTAACCCTTAGCACTCCAGGTTGTTCTGTAATCTGTCAGCAGCTGCAACTAATTTTTATAGTATTCCCAGCGAAAATTAGAAACGCTATAACATTTCTTCGATCTTTTATTTTCCTTAGGACAAAATTTGGATGTGTGGAAAATCGAGTTTAGGGCAGTTTCTTTAAGATTCATTAAAATATTTAATATTATAACTGGTGCGATGTTGGAGCCTACAGAGTTCAAAGGGTTAATTAATAGGAAAAAGGGAAACCACGTGCTGATCTCTTGCTGTTCGAGTAATTCAATCATTTGTTCGCGACTTAGTCTTCCAAATATGAACATCTGATCTCGCCGGAATGTCGACATTCGTCCGCAAAAGGTTAACTCTTGAAATTTTCGAATAACCATCGTTTAATCGAATGAAATATAATAATTCGATTTGGTTGAGGTCACCGGTAACCCCCGCGGCATCCAACGTCTTAAAGCTGATTTAGTAACACTTAAACCGAAATACAAGCCAATTGAAATCTTAATAAATTCACGCTTATAGCTTTTATAAAGAAATTTTAAAAAGACGGCTGAAGTGCTCGATAATTCAAGTGTTACGCAATAGAGAATAAGGAAATTATATACTAATTTCTTGGTGTAAGTAGTTAAATTACTTGTTTACAACTCAGTATCCCAAAGATGTAAGTTTAATCTCAGCAAAATGTCGACATCCGTCCGCGAAAGGTTAAACGTCGGTGCGTAAACTGTCATGAATCCCGAATATTTAGGTCCGTGTATCTGTCCAAAGGTTTCCTGAACCACTGTCTTTCATGGAGAGGCTGGGTTCCCTTCAGCAAATTGACCTACAGCGCGTATCTGTGTCACTACGTGTTCATGCTGTCGAATGCTGGCGCGGAGAGAACCAGCACCATACTCAGCCCAATACAAATCGTGAGTATTCCGAATTCTCCTTCTAGAAGAACTTCCAAAACCCCAACAATGCGAGTTCGATCGAAATCCAGCACCACCGTCGAAAACCTTCACACCCTGAAATCCTTCGATTTCCAGATTCGGAGCTTCACCAGCAACCTGTTCCTCACGATGCTGCTGTCAGCGGTATGGACTCTCTGCTTCGAGATGCCGTTCATGACCCTGGACCGCGTGCTGCTGACTCGCCGAGAGAATCAACCGACGTTGAAGCCGAACCAGGGGAAGATGTTCGGGTCGACGGATTCGAGCAAGGAGATCTACCGGTCGACGAACGAGTCGTCGTCGACGATCTCGCAGGGCTGCGAGGACAACTTCAATCAGAAGTCCGCCGAGGACAGCGTCTATTGTTCCGCCGGGGACGTCAGCTACGAGCAGGCGATTTACGCGTCGGGCTCCTCGCAGGACCTGAAGTCCCACGCGAAGGGCGACAGGTGTCCGTTCATCTTCGTGATCGGCAGCTCGGAGGGCGGCGACACTTGGCCGAAGTCGAGGAACGTCCACCAGAACAACGGGTTCGACGAGGACTCCGACGACGCGTCCCAGTCGAAGCTCGACGTCCGGTTGGACCGCGGCTACGAGTCGATCCTGTGCGAGGATCCGGTCAGGCAGGAGGACGCGAACGAGTCGGACAAGATAAACAACAGTTGATGGAGCGAATCGTCCATCGGGTCCGAGCGCACTTGCTGGACAAGTGATAATTTATGCGACGGGGGGAACGAAGTCAGGGAGAACGGTGAACGCGCCGACGACGGAGATACCGGCGACAACGAATGGAGCTTGCTGAGGGAAACGATGCGTTGGTACGATCTGCTGATACTGATCGTCTCGGAGATGATCGACAGCTTGGTCGAGCAGCTCGCGCGGACCCCCGCGGCGCGGATGCTGAGACGCGTGTACGAGCTTCGTTGACCGCGCGAGACGAGAAGAGGATTATGATATTGTACAAATTTGCGGAATATGCTTCGTTAAGGCCTTCACGCGTTGCGATTCGGTGTCGGAGACGAGTCGGACTGTACTCCACGGTGAAGGGGAGTACTTAACCTCTTTAGTGCCGGACGAAAGAATTCTGCCTAAGTGAGGAATACCGAAATTGATGTAATCCCGTAAGGGTTGAAAAAAGATCTTTGAAGAAAAGTAAAAATGATGTCTAGAATATTGAGAAAGGATTACGCTGTGAAATTAAGGGAGAGAATTAAATTCCATTTCAATATTTCTTGAAAATCGTACTAATAATATTGATTCAGTCATCGGAAGAAATGGAAATGTCAGTTTTCTTGTATAAACAGTATTTGCGAATGAAAAAGATCATGGTTTGGCCTTAGCTTGATACAGGACACGTAGTGTGAAGCATAAATATTGCTGTTCCAGTTATTTGCTACGAAGTTACTTATAAAAGTAACTATAAAATGATTCGTAGCGAATACCTTATCCAGGGTGTACAGTTTCGGTATCATCGCGAAAGATAACGAAAAGTTGAACTCGTTGAAAGTTGCTAAGAGCGATATATCGTTGTTCGGCATTGAAGGGTTAAACGTTAGTATTTACAAGTGAAGAACGACGTTCGGACGTTTCTTCATCGTTTCTCAAATGCGAAACAAGAGCTGAGAAATATTACTTTGAGACATTCGAACCGATTCGCCTCGATGAATTTAGGTCTGGCAATTTGAGCGTTGTACACGTATCGTGACGCGTAGAAGCCTTTAACGATTAGAGTGTTGTCCATTGGCGTTGTAAATATCGAGACAGGGAATGTCTTCAGCGGACAACACGTTTGCTTGATTTGGAAAGCCGACGTTGATTCGTCGACGAGTCCCGGTGGAGTAGAGGTTAATTAAGTCGTCTTTCATTGTTTCCGATCGATCCGCCGATAGCAGAGTCTGAAGAAGGCTCATTCTCGAGCGAGTTACCTGATCCCGCGAATAAAGCTTGTTAATAATTACCGCGCGCACGATGTTGGCGTTTATTTTTGTAACTGGTCGTTGTTAGCCGTCGCCGCTTCGTGGTTTTAGGATTAAGACTAACAGAAAAACCTGCTAACTTTGTTACACCGTATTTATAAAGCGAATATTATTTAAGCTACCTGGTAGATCCGTTTCGTTCTAGAACGGATAACATAGAGGATAACGAACTAATATAGTCAGTGATGCGTTTACGGAGCACAGGCTACAGTATTATGTGTATAATTGAATCCTGTGATTACACGGTGCATGTTTCTAAATACGATCCCGTCTTGTAACGAGCGTGACGTTGAATATTTTCGTAATTACTAACTGAACCTAACGCTACGCGGACCACAAACTCACACGAGAAAAGATTCCTGTCGTCGCGTTACGTCGCGTTTCAGCGAGAATAAAAGAAGAACCATTCATCTCGCATTCCGATTTATTTCAGCTTTATCCTCTCGCGGTTTCCGTTCCCGCCGCGTCTTCTATTAGGACTTTTACTCGTCGCACTCCGCGATCCGAGCAATTCGAAAGGGAACAATATCTTCCGGAAAGAAGAGAACGGAGGGCAGAGTAGAAGGGCGTGAGGGAAGTACAAGACTACGCTTGTAATTCCTCGACCGGAACTAACGCGGGCCATGTGGCAGCGTAGACTCCGCTCGTAACCATAAAGCTTGGAAACACTGCCAACAGATACAAGTTAACTTTCCGGCTCTCTTTGCTCGAGTAATCATTTACTATCGGAACGGACAGGAATAACACACCGGCGCCGACTCTCTCGCGCGAGCTTTCGATTATCCCTCACTCCCGGAAACAAGAATTTTCTAACCGCATTCTTAATTACGGTCTGCTGCAGTTTTAACACCTCGCGGATGATTTTTTAAATTATTCATACATCACCGAAGGTGCTGAACACCTTTTGAGGTTTTAACTTAAAATTATTTTAGTTCAATAATTTTTTCTCAATTGAATTTTTGAAAAAATTGAATTGAAAATTTCAGAAGCTGCCATTTGACACCTTCGGTAGAAATAGTGTTAAAACCCTGTTTCGTAGAAAAGTTAGGTTATGCAACGAAATCTTAAATACAGGGAAAAGAACATATCAATTTCTCGTTATTTAATATGTTGACTGCCACGAGAATTTCGAATGTTTTATTATAGTAAGATTTATTCCTTTACAATAGAGGAAAATAGTATTAAATATAATTATTAATGTTTTAGTATTACAGTATTCATATTACACTTCCAGCTTCTCTCGTTACTAAATATTTTGATTCAATATCAATGTTCTTATTGTAATTGTTTCCAAGCAATTTAGAAGCTGCGGTCATCGACCACCGTGGCAGTCAACGTCAAATAATTAAATTATTCATTCGCAGCTTAATTAAATATCCAAGCTCGGAGCCTCCATTATGGCGGCATTCGGGAAAGGGTTAACCCTTTGCACTCGAGAGGCGACTCTCAGGTGCGAGACGATTCGATACAGTGAAATTATAAATTTTTATATTTGCCGTTTAACTTACACTGCATCAATACTTGAAATACTGAAAGAAAATAGCTTTGTTCCCTAATTTATGTATGATTTCTTGATAAATTCATTTCAAAGAATCCTGTCTACGTCTAATTGGAAAGTATTGAATATTTCAAGTGAAAAACTTTCGAGTTCAAAGGGTTAATTCTAAAAGAAAAAGGACGAACCGACTGGGTGGTGGATCGAGAATCAAACAACTCGGAGACGACGGTCGAAATTGAAGGGAACGATGTCTTTTATAATACAAATAAATACAAGTCCTTTATTCAGTTAATTACACTATGTCTTCGGCTATCTGTCTTCGTTCCGGGCGGGTCAAAGCGAGCAGTCTCAGAAGCGTGAGTCGTCGGCGTACTGTCTAGGTTTGTTGAAGATGCTGTACAATTGGCGGCCAAGCCTCGGCGATGGTGTCCAGGGCAGCCGACGTCCTAAACGAGGCGCGAATAGCGGTGGGAACAGTTGCTCCTCGGCGTACAGCTCGTCCTGATCCTTCGGGAATCCGTACGAGAACAAATCCTCGCCGGAATCACGCCCTAACCGAGGAGTGAACTGAGTCGGTTGTCGTTTTTCTCCACCTGGAAGGTCATCGTCGAGAAAGTTTCACGATAAAATGTGTTTAGCTCGAAGTCCCCTATTTCTAGAGCCATCGACGAGATGTGAATTCCACTTTGATGAAGATAGATGCAAACTTGACGAACGTCGAGACGTTTCTTTGGCGAGAATACGCTTACGCTCGGAAGCTTCGATAGAACCATATGCTTTTGTCTTCTTTAACATTGAAATTACCAGATGGGTCAGAATGATCTTCTTTTTGCAACGATTCGAAAGATAGATGTTTCTTTGAGAAATCAGTGAAAAAATTGATTTAGTAACATGAAAATTGAATTATCAATTAAAGTCGCAATAGATGCGCTCTCGAAGTTTCTATAGAAGTTCCGAAAGTCAATTTAACTGCTCGTTTCAGTGTTGACACGTTGACTCTATGGTGGTCAATAAGAAGATTGATATCGAATAAAAGTCTTTAGTAACAAAAGCAGGTAGATAATAGCGTAATACGAGTGCAATACCAAATTATTACTAATTACTTCCAATACCATTTACTACGAAGGAATAAGGATTGCTATACCAAAACGCTAAAAATTCTCGTGGCAGTCAACGTGTTAACATTAGAACTACCGATCAATTCTACAAATTTCTTTATAAAAACCATGTTCGTTCACTGAGATTTCAATTGAGTTGTATTTCAGTTTCGCTATTACCGAATTAATTTCGTTAATAATTTCTCGTACAAGTATCCGCACCTCTTCAGTAATTGTAAAAGGAGAAATCAGAAATAAGTGATTCACCCATCCAGTTCTAGTGTTAAGAAAATCCTCGGGACTTCAAGATCGCGACGTATACCTGGAATGGTGATGACTGCCCAGCGGCTACCGTCGAGAATGTTCGCCAGAGCATCGAATTCCGGGTCGGTTTCCGACTTCCTTCCTTCCGACCTTCGTCGTCTGCCCAAACGCGGTCCGAACCACATGCCTCCGGTGATGTCCTGCGGGGTGCGTTTCACGCACTTGCCGTCAGTGCAGGGGCCAAACTCATTGCCCGATGTCCTATCATTCGCGACGCTGCTCGGCGGTTCTCTTCCCACTGATAAAAGAGAAATTACACATCCCCGTAAACCACATTTCAGCACATTCGAACCTAACCGAGACCTTCACCGTTCTATCCGCACGGATCGAAGTTACGAATACCAATGACTCGAAGAATTTCCCGCTAGAAACCTTCAGGATTTCGTTACTCGCGATCAAACAGGTGATCCCGAGTAGTTCCGCCGTCGGATTCTTCGTAGAAGAGGTAAATAACGTACCGTACTCGCCGGAGGTGCAGGACGCCAGGCAGAAGAGGCAAACCAGAGCGCAGATCGTCGCTAGGCAGAAAGGTGTGAACACGCCGGAACCGATCATCGCTTCTTCGAGTGCACGGTACCTCGAGACTTGTCGTCGAATGATGTCGATACGCTCGGGTTCCGTGGGTTTTATAGGGATGCGAGCCACCCTCCCGGGTTGCTTACGCGCGTGATTGTCCACCTCGTTCCGTCCTCCGCCGAGACTATTTTTCTCCCTTTCTCTCGTTCATTTCATTCGAGTCGCCGATACGCAAACATCAGCCCCGCCGGGGCCAATCTCGCCGGCCCATTCAGCGATTTGTCTCAATTTCGATCCGAGATCCATGGTCCTCCATACCTAATGAGGATCCCGGCTGCAGGATGCGCCCCGGCGTCGGGAGAACGCGTCATCCGCCCCCGTACGCCTCCATCCCTGCATGTCCGGAAACCATTCCACCGCTCGGCCCGGCCGATCCTCCGGGATTTAGAGGAATTTCGCCAACGTTCGCCGCTTTCCCTCCTCCGAGGGGTGAATTACGCGTTCGAGTAACGCGGTCCTGTTTATCTCAATCTGTAGGAGCGTTTCGGTTAGCCGTACTCCAAGCTTCCCTCTGGAGCTCGTCCCTGATGCTTCTACAATTCGAACGCAACGCTGTTTGCACGGTTTACTTGTATTTTTCATATCCTCGCGAATGATATCTTGACATCGAATTTCAGTGGGTCTTCGAGGAAGATCGGGGCTATCGTTTCAAAACGAAAACGTTGGTTTAACCCCTTGCGGTAGCATTTACTTTCGTTACCAAGCTCGGGTAACATTCTACTATCGACAATTTGGAAGAAGTGCAACAAAATTTTCCATTCTACTTGAAGTAGAAATTTCATTTGGAGACGATACACTGATAACAGCAAAATAATTTGCTTTGATCCGCGTGCAATGAACAACATTGATTGTAAAATTGGTCTAGAAATCTTAAAGATGTCGGCATTTCGAGATGGAATTTTTGTGTCGGAGACTAAGTCGGAAACAAATGATTTAATTAGTTGAACAGCGAGAGATCAGCACGTAGTTCCCTTTTTTCCATTAATTGTGCGATTGATATATAATTTAGCTTCATGCGTTGAAGGTTTTATGTTTCGAAGAATCCGCGTCCGCACAGTGTTAAGGAGCTTCGCTAAGCAATTAGGAGACATGATTGAGCATAGGCGATTATTCACGATTTTCCAGGGTCCAAGCGGAGATGAATGCACATCGGGTGACTTGCAACGATTCGTTCGTGTCGGAAAATCTAACGGGCAGGCGGAATCGTTGGAGCACCCTCGCGTTTTCCGTCCCCTGTCGGCTGGAGCCAGCGCAGCGGGCGTCCCGCGGCACAATCTGTTCTCCATTAAGCCTGTCAATTAACCAATTCAATTTAGGGATCAACGAGATCGAGGCGGGCGGAAAGTCGATCGGCGTTTCGCATAAAAGCTCGGCTCTGCTCCGCGATTCGCGCATTGGCGGCTGACCGGTCGGCGAGGACGCAACTGGATTTGCGTTTAACACGTTGAACGCCGCACAATTTCATAGAGCACAATACACAAAATAGAAAAAATATAATTGCATCAGTTAATTGTGTTGTATTATTATTATTCCGCGCTTGTCTAGCTGCATGTCATAGCATATAGAAACGTTTTCGAATAATCGTCGTTTAATTAGCACTAGAACTACCATACCAGTGGAAATGACAGGTTTCGATTTCTGTGTTTCGCAATTATTGATATCTTAAAAGCATCGAATATTCGAAATGATCTTGAAAATAAATAGTTTCACTTGAACACCATAGTGAATGTCTGAAGAAATTGAAAATAATCTATTGTTGGAATTCTTATATGGATTACATATTAATTGTATTAGATGCTCGGTAGTTCTAGTGTTAAGTGAACTGTAGTAATTCGATCTGGTTGAGGGTCACCGGTGACCCCCATGGCATTCAATGTGTTAACCCTTTCGAGTCGACCTTCGAATACGTAAGTCAGAGTTGAAATTTAAAGTGACTTCTTTCGAGAGTCTCAATCGAAGAACTGCGATGCTAATGCACCTGTTGTAATAAAATTCTGTTAAACCGTGAATTCCCGTTTTTTTAAACCGTAAACCATGATGTGATACTTATGTGAACCGTTTACAGTGCGGTTTTAAAGTTTTATTACGTTTTAGAAGGTAGTGGAACAAATGTGTACCAGCTGTCTCGAGAGGGTTAAGGAACGAAGGAAATTAGGTTAATCAATTTAACACTAGAACTAACGAACACTTAAACAGTCTTTTTTTAAATCTCTCTACAGAAGTTATAAACGTGAATTAATTAAGATTTCAATTGCTTTAGTAATTTCTCAACATGTTGACTGCCACTAGAATTTCCAACGTTTTGTTGTAACAATACATATTCTCTCATAACAAAGGCAAATGGTATTATTATATTATTAATATTGTGGCAAATAAATATTAATGACTTGGCATTACAATACATGTGTTACAGTATCATTTAGCTGTTTGTGTTACTAAGTATCTTTATTCGACGTCCGTTTTCTTATTGAAATTGAAAGGAATTTTGAATTTAGTGTTAAATGATATTAAATGATATTAACACTAAAACTACCGAGCAGATAAATTGACATTTTGAAACTTGTGTATAGAAACTACAAGAGTGCATCTATTGAAACTTTAAATGATTTACAATTCGGTTTGCGTATTAGTAAACTAATTTCTCTAATAATTTCTCAGAAAAACATTCGTTATCTTTTTAATAATTGCAAGAGGAAGGAATCAGGAATGGATCATTTTGACCCGTCTGGTAGTTTTAGTGTTAACCAACGACGTTAACCAGCAAAGTATGGTTCGCCGATAGCAACAGAAATAAATTACAGATAAGTTAACGATCTTCCGAGGATCGCGAGTGTCAGCCTCGAATATTTGCGGGACATTAAATCTCGACTCTCGGACAGAAGACATAATCTATGCCAGAGGAAAACGGTATTGTTTACGCACGACGTGCAGTAGTTCCGAAGCGTAAACGGCTCGGGAAGATTTGTGGTGTTACGAATCCGGTGCACCTCGTTTGTTCCGTTTAACATTCTAATCGCTTCGAGCTGAACGTCCCAACTATCTGTCGTCTGACTTCTTAGATACTTGTTAGAAATAACACTAAAACCATCAGACAAGTCGAAACGTTTCTTTAGAATCTCGCATCAGAGACGCGCGAGTTAAACTGTCTTTTTGAAATTTCTTTGTATAAACTAAGTGGTCCCTTCTCATTGCAATTACTAAAAAGATAACAGAAGTTATCTGTAACAATTTATTAACACTAGAACTACCGAGCAGTTAAATTGTCTTTTTGAAATTGTTCTGTAGAAACCTCAACAGAATTATTGAGAGTTCAGTTGGTTTGCAATTCAGTTTGTGTATTGCTAAATCAGTTTCTCTAGTACTTTTTCAGAGGAGCATTTGTTATATATTGAATAACTGGGAAAAATGAAATCAGAAATGGGTCATTTTTACCCATCCGGTAGTTCTGTTGAAGAAATTGATTTATCCACACGCAAAGTAAACTGTAAATCGATTAAAATTCTCAATAGGTACACTCTTAGAGTTTCTATGGAGAAATTTCAAAAAGTCAATGCAACTGCTCCGTAGTTTCAGCGTTGATGCTGTATCGATTTATCTAAGCGAACAGATCTTAACACAGGAACTATCCGACGAGTCAAAAGGATCGATTCCTGATTTCTTTTTCACAATTATCGAGAAGGTAACCATCGCTTCTCTGGGAAGTTACCAAAGTCGATTCAGTTATGTTTAAACCGAGCTGTAAACGATTCGACATTTCAATAGATTTCCCAGAGTTCTCACTAGGAAATTAAACCAAGTCGATTCCACTGCTCGTCAGTTAACCCCTTGACTATTTACCTTCGCTAAGCTCGCGTGACATTTTCCTATCGACAATTTAGAAGAAAAGCAGCAAAATTTTCCATCCTACTTTCAGCAGAAATTTCATTTGAAAATAATACACTGACAATAGCGAAATAATTCTATGAACATTGGTTGTTAACCAGTTAACCGTGGAATTTAGTTTGAAAAATCTCTCATTGTGCGCGCAATAAAATTAAATAATGAAGTGTATACTCGTTAAATGCAGGCAAAATGCACTTAAGATATATCCCAACGAAAAACTAAAGCGAAACGAACAAGAATTACACGTTTGTCTCAAAAAATACATAATCCATCGTTGAAAAAGTTAGCACCATTAAGAGTTTTAAGATGACGCGTATACTCGTCAAACACAGTTAACTGGTTAAATTACTCTAGAAATTTTCATCGCCAGCCTCACTCGTCATTGTACGATAAGGGGTTAATCGTCGGAGAAAATTTCTGGTAAGATCGAACAAAGGTTCGCCATTAGCTGCGACAGCTTTGTTCCCGCGACAGCGAGCTCCAACAGAAGAGTGGTGCCCGGGCAATTAGGGGGCGAGTCGACACATGCACGGGCCAGTTTTTCATGAGCCAGCTAAGTGGCCGAGTCGTACTTAGTTGGTTGTACTTAGACTCCTCGTACGCGGACCTTCGATACTCGTCAAAGCAAACAAACGTCTGCTTCATGTTTTTTTCCTCTCGGTCAGCGTACGCGTGTTGGCGTGTCGCGCGCACACGCGAGCCTCCTCGTGTCGGTGTCTCGGAAACGTTCCCACGTGAGCGTGTCTTTCGCTTTTGTCTCTCGTTCCCTTTCGATGTTCGCCACGTACTCGGAAGAGGCTGGCGCTTCGACGACCATCCGTCACCCCGAATTTCGATAAGATCCGATAGTTCGTGAAATAAACTGCGAGGGGCGAAACTGTCAAACTTCGACGCTCACCGATCAGATCTCGACGCGAGTTCTTAATTAAATTAGCTTTCGGTCGCGATCCATCGCTTGCCGACTGTCGGAGTGTCGCTGATAACATCGGGAGAACGGAGCAGATCATCCAGATAGATGATCCGAATCCCCTAGCTCACGATCAATTAGACGAACGCGTGTTCCATTGATTTCTCTGTATACCTTCAAATTCTGGTTTCTTCGTGTATTACATCTCGTGCGATTCACAAGAGAGAA